TTAATGTCAGAGTGAGGAGGGTTTGCTAGGGCTGGGAAGATGGGCCTCAATTCCTGCAGAGTGACAGGGATGGGAGATGAGTTGGAGGCACAAAGTCCCCAAAGTTGGGGATGTAGGCACCAGGAGTATATGTATGGGTGGAAAAAAGTGGCCTAAATTTGGGATATAGGTTTCAGGGGTATATGTAGAGGTGCACAAAGTCCCTTAAATTGGGGATATATACACCTGGGCTATATGTACAGGTATATAAAGTCCCCTAAATTGGGGATGTAGACACCAGGAGTATATATATGGGTGGAAAAAGTGCCCTAAATTTGGGATATAGGTAGCAGGGGTATAGGTACAGGTGCACAAAGTCTCCTAAATTTGGGATATATATACCTGGGGTATATGTATGGGTGGAAAAAGTGCCCTAAATTTGGGATATAGGTACCAGAGGTACAGGTACAGGTGCACAAAGTCTCCTAAATTTGGGATAATACACCTGGAGAATATGTATAGGTGGAAAAATGCTGTAAATTTGGGATATATACACCTGGGGTATATGTACAGGTATATAAAGGTCCCTAAATTTGGGATATAGGTACCAGGGGTATAGGTACAGGTGCACGAGGACCCCTAAATTTGGGATATATACACCTGGGGTATATGTATGGGTGGAAAAAATGCCCTAAATTGGGAATATATACTCCTGAGGTATATATACAGGTGCACAAAGATCTTTAAATTGGGGTATATGCACCAGGGGGTGTATGTACAGGTGCACAAAGTCCCTTAAACAAGGGATCTATACACTGGAGGTACATGGACAGGGGTGAAAATTCTCCAAAGTTTGGGATGTATAAGGATAAGTGCACTGCAGGGCCCTGGGAGGTGTCTGGAGTTGGGCAGGGAAAAGGAGCTATTAAAGCTCTGGATCTCTGGGGCTGCCTCCCCTTGGCCTCAGCTTGGTGTTTCCCCCCAGAAATCAAAGCAGTGCCTCAAAGAGAAACAGATTGGAACTCCCAGACTTTGGAATCAGTTCTTGGAGCAGGTTTGGGATGCAAGATCTGTGTGTATATATATATATATGATTAATTTTTGCTAATCCCTCTGTCACTCCTTTGGGGTTTGGGTGGGGTTTTTGAGCCTTTTTAGGAAAAGAAGATGCTGGAGTGTGCAGCTCTCACAGCATTCTCCTCCTTCCCCATCCATCCCTGCCCAGCTGCCAGCCCAGTCCTTCCCAGTCCTCCCCATTCCCTTGCAGGCAGAGACTGGTCATCCCCACCTGCTGCCTCAAGCTGCCAGCCAGCAATTTGGCACCAGTTCCTCCTGTTTCTGCTAAGATGGACTTGGCTCCTTCTCCTTTTCTTGTTTCTTTTAGCCTGGGCACTTAAAAAGCAGAAATGTGAGAAGCTGTGGGTCAGCTCCAGTCAGGTTCATTCCTGGCACTGAGTCTCAGCCAACGACTTCAAACTCATTGTGGCCAAGGCAAGAGTGACATCTGGCTTGGATATTCTGGCAAGATTACCAGCTGGCTTGTCATGTATTGTGCAAAGAATAACATTTGCCTTAGAGGATGCTCCAAGCCAGGAGCAGAGCCCCAGGGAGCAGCGTGACAAATCTGCGTGGTGCTCTGTGATGAACTTGCCACAGTTCTTTAAGGGAATTGATGTGTCTTTGCCTCTCATTTGGGGAGAGGGAAATGCTGTTGCAAACGATTTATCTCCTGGGGAAAGGAAAGGTAAAGAGTCCAATACTTTCCTGTGCTGTGAGAAAGGAGCAGGTTGGGGTTTAGCTGCTCTGCAGCATCCAACCATATGCACCAGGAGTATATGTACAGGTGCACAAAGTGCCCTAAATTAGGGATGTATATACCTGGAATATATGTGTGGGTGGAAAAAGTGCCCTGAATTGGGAATATATACACCTGAGGTATATGTGCAGGTGCACAAAGATCCCTAAATTTGGGGTATATGCACCAGGAGTATACATACAGGTGCACTAAACAAGGGATCTGTACACTGGGGGCACATGTACAGGGGTAAAAAGTGCCCCAAATTTGGGATATGTATGTACAGGTGCTGTACATATGTATGTGTTGCTGCTCTGCAGCATCCACCCCAGGCTCTTCCTTCTGCTCCTGCCAACAGCACCCCCTGAGCACCCTAAAATCCCCAGGCAAAGCTTTTCTGCCAGGAAAGACCCCTGGGATGGGTGTGGGATGGGATTCCCCATATCCCCTCAGCTCCTTGGGGAGGTTTTCTTTCCCCATGTGCTGAATCACTAGGGAGATAACCATGGAAATAACTTGCTCTTGGGATGGGTGAGGGAGAGGGAAAAGGTTTTCTCCTTGTCTCCCATAGCAGGAGCTTTTCCTCAGGTCCATGTATTTCTTCTCGAGGCCAAAGGTTAAACAAAAGAGCTTTGATGGTTGTAATTTTTTCCTGGTGGAGGATGAGAGGTTTGTTCTTTCAAACAGTCCCCAGAAGGACAATTTTACTGGGATTTAAATCTTCTCCTATGGATGGTTTGGGCTTGTTCCATAAAGTTGCTGATCTTGGGAGAGAAGGAGCTCATGGAATGGTTTGGGTTGGAAGGACCTTAAAGCTCATGCAGTTCCACCCCCTGCCATGGGCTGGGACACCTTCCACTAGCCCAAGGGGAGCTGAGAATCCCCTTTTTTCCTGGAATCAGTGCTCCAGCCAAGTCCATCCTCCTTCCCCATCACCCCAATCCCATCAGGAGCATCCCCAGTTCCATCTCTCCCTGAGCCAATGCCAGTCGTGTTCTTGCTGTTCCTTAGCATCTGCCATGTGGCCAAGCACAGCAGTGCCCAGGAGTTCTGGCTTCTCCTCAGGAGCACTTGGATAACCCAGCTGAGAGCTGACCTTGCCCTGGAAATTCACAGCCTGCTGGGAACCTCTAAATGGGTCAGGCAGCTGGTGGAAAAAGGAAAATAATCCAGTTCATGCCTCTGGCAGGTGAAAACTGAGTGTAACCTGTGTGTCCAGCCATGAGAAGCAGCTAAAAGGAGGTGCCAAGTGCATGCATGGCTCTTTCCAAACTCCCAGCTCAGCCAGGGTCCCCAAAGGATGAGGAATCCCCAGAAGAGGCTCAGCTGCTCCACAGGGGAATGTGCATCGGCGGGTGTCGTACCCCTTGACCTGGAAAAAGCCTCAGTCACCAGCAGAAGTCTCTAGGAATCCACTGCATTCCCACATGGAGCATCCAGCACTCTGGTCCAACCCTGAGGAGTTGGGATTTATTCCCTCTGAGCTCAGAATCAGGGAGTGATTTGGGTTGGAAGAGACCTTGAAGAGCATCCCATTCCACCCCCTGCCACGGGCAGGGACACCTCCCACTAGCCCAGGTTGCTCCAAGTCCCATCCAACCTGGCCTGGAACACTCCCAGGGATGGAGTTTTCCCATCCTTTCCTTGGGTCACAGCCCATGGCACTGCAGTGGCTTCTGGTGTCATCACCTCTGCTCCTCCCTGCCCTCTCCATGCCCTGAGATGTGTGAGGGAAGGAATCACTGCAGCTCCCTCTGCTTAGCTCACTCACTGCTTCATTTGTTCCTGTGTTTAATTTGATCAAAACCTCCTGAAAACAAATCATTCCCATTAAAAAAAAAAAAAAAGCAAAAAAGCAACTCAATTTCTCGCCTTCGTTTCCATCAGTTCTCGATGCTTTAGGCAGGTACTGTTGGATGATTCAATCACTGCTTGGACAAAGCTGACATTTAATTAAGAAGGAAGGAAAGGAAGCTAAAGGGAATAATGTATTCCTGTTCCTTTCTGTGTGGAGTGTTGGAAAAAAGGAGCTGAGGAGATTTTCTGTTGTGCACTGCAAAGGCTCAGTAACAGTGTGGGCAGTTTGGCTGCTTCACATTCATCCCTCCCTCTGATGGACATCCAGCCTGGGCCACAATTCAGCCTCCTGCCTTCTCATTTAATGGCCTAGTCCATTTGGAAAACTGCAGCACATCCATCTGTCCACCTGGTCCATCTGTCCATCCTCTTCTCCATCCTTCCTGGCTCTTTATCCTCCCACCTCAGCGATTCAACTCAGCACAAGAAACATTCCCAGAGCATCGTGTGGAAGGTGTGGGGTTGTGTCAGCAGAGCCAGAGCATGGGTACACCTGGAAATGATCACAGAATGCAATCCCAGAGTGGGTTGGGTTGGGAGAGAAGCTTAAAGACCATCTAATTCCAACCCTTTGCCATGGGCAGGGACATCTCCCACTGCTTCCATCTCTCCTTGTGCTTATGCTGTGTGTGAGAGGGGATGAGACAAGGTAACCAAGCCAGTAATTGGATTAGGAGTGGAAATCAGCTCCTCTGCTCTTTGTGTCCCTTCATTACTCCTCCTGGTGCTGCTGGTTCTCCCCATCTCCACTCCCTCTGCCTTCCCCTGGAGCTGGGTCAGGCAGGAGGGCACGAACATCTCAGCCCTTGGGCTCTCTGCCCAGTGCCTTTTCTGCTTTTTCCCTCCTCAACTTCAGAAGAAGAAAGGGAAATGTAGCCCCTAACCTCAGGCATGTTAATTGCTCTCAGAGCTTGAACGTTCCAGGGGAAGATAAAACCAGGCAGTGAAATTTTACAGCCCTGGAGCTCTCAGGGTTGGGAGGTTTGTGGTGTCTCTGCCAGGGGAGCAGTGCTCAGGGAGGGCTGGGGAGGAGGGAGGGATGGAGGGATGAGTGTCCTGTGCTCCAGGGCTCATTCCCAGTGGAATTCCCACTCGTGGGCAAGAACTTCTCCCTCCCCTGTGACCTCTGTCAGGTTGGGGCGACCGGAGGTGAGACAAGAACTTTCACTCCTTGAGTCCAGATCTCATTTGTCTCCTCCCTCTATCCCATTTATCCTTTTTCTCCTTTATTTTCTCCTTTAATCCCACCTTCATTTTCACCTTCATTTTCACTGTTACTCTGGTTCAATACCTCTCCTGACTGCTGAGTTGCTCCATACTGGGAGCAGCGATGAAATCCCATCCCTCTCCTTCTTCTCTTCCCCTCCAGATCCCGACTGGCTGATTACCACACCAACTGCCAAGCCACTTTCCAGTCCCTGACCAGCTGCCCCAGGGACAACTACCAGGCATGTCTGGGCTCCTATGCAGGGCTCATCGGTGAGTGAGTGCCTGGGCTTGGGATGGGCAAGGATCTTTCCCACTGGGGCTTCATCTCGGGTCCTTCTCCACCTCCAGGTTTTGACATGACACCCAACTACATCGATGCCAGCACCACCAACATCACCATCTCACCCTGGTGCTCCTGCAAAGGCAGTGGCAACATGGAAGAAGAGTGTGAGAAGTTCCTCCGGGACTTCACGGAAAACCCGTGTCTCCGTAAGGCTCTTCCCCATCCCCCTCCTCACCCTCTCCCAGCCTTTGCAGCCCCCATAAGTCTCTCCTGCCCCCAGGAAACGCCATCCAAGCCTTTGGCAATGGGACTGATGTGAACCTGTCCCCCAAACACCCCTCTGCCCCCGTCACTGTGCCCCCCAAGACGGAGAAGGGTCCTGCCCTGCCGGACGACGTCAATGACAGCAACACCATGTATGACACGAGCATCATCACCACCTGCACCTCTGTCCAGGTAGGGCCCCAGCCCAGACTGGGGGCACTGGGCTGGGCTCAGTGGGTCCATCAGCCAGGAGATTGGCTGCAGAGTCCTGCTTGGTGTTTGCATCCCGGTCTGGATGTGGAGTTGGTACCCAGGTGGCAGCAGGATCTGGTTTTCCATGGCAATTGGAGGTCTGGTGTGGGGCAGGGAGGGATCCATGCCCTGCCCATCTCCTTCCCTCACCTGGGGCAGCATCTCCTGCCAGGGTGAACTTCTGTAGCTGTTCTGACCTTGACTGCTCATCATTTGGGGTGAAACTAGCTTGAATTCCACATGGGTTTGGGAAAACCTGGAAAATCTGTGTTTTCTTGCCTTGTGCTGGGCTTGTGGGTTCATGCTTTCCTCCTCAGGTGGTCAGGGCTTTGGGAGAGGAGTGGGATGGGGTCTGTGCCCAGTGGGTGCCCCAGGGGTGCAAGGAGGATCCTCAGCAGGAGGATTTGCTGGAGGAGCATGGGGGGAGTGAGGCAGGAGCACAGTGAAGATGCTGAGCTGCCTGGGGAGAAGGGATGAGATCCTCTTCTCCTTCTTCTCACCCTTCTCAAAGCTTTTTGTGCTTCAGAACCAGCTGTGTGCCCTGAGCCCTGATTCCCATAGGGAAATTTGGGACCCCAAACCTCAGGGTGTGACCTCAGGCAAGGAACAGCCCCAGGTGACATACCTGCCCTAAGCCTTCCTGCTTTCTCCTCCCCAGGAGCAAGGACTGCAGCCAAACAAGTCCAAAGAGCAGAGCCTGTGCTACTCAGAGGTAAGTTTGGGGCTGGAGGAGCACAGAGAGGACAGTCCTGGTGCTGGGAACACCTTCCCACCTCAAATAACTTGGGAAAGACATGCCAGGGACTGCAGGCTTCAATGACTGAAGGGCATGAATAGGTGTTTTCCAAGTTGGGCTGCTTTTCCCCCCCAAAAAAAACCCTTGCCCTGATGAGCCTCTCCTCTCCCTCAGACCCAGCTGACCACGGACGTGATGCCAGACCAGAAGAGCTTTGTGGACCCGAAGGCAAGCGGCAGCCACCACCGGGTGGGCTGGATCCTGCCCCTCCTGCCCCTCCTGCTGCTGCTCTTGGCCTTATAGAGGGGTGAAATGGCACCTGGAGGGACAGGGACGCTCACACCAGTGCCCACCAGTGCCCACCAGAACGTTCACCCTCGGCTCCTGCGGCGGGGACTCGTGCGGCGGCGCTGGTGCCAGGACGAGCACTGGTGCTGGAGCCTGCAGCTCTCCCAGCCCTGGGAATGCCAAGCTCTGGAGCACTGGGCAGCAGGAGGACCCTCCCCATGCTGGGAAACTTTGGTGGTTTTCTTCCTGCTTTCAATCTTTTCCTGGTTTTCTTTTGGTCTTTGCCAGTGCGTTGGGGTGAGTTCCGTGCAGGAGCTCGTGGTGGAACCTCCCCCAGGTGTCCTCAACGGGGGGTACAGAGCTGAGAGAGGCACTGGGGAGGGAAATACGTGTGGAGCAGAGATTTGGGAAAGGTTTTTTTCAGGAGTCTTTGCAGGAGCCACCAGCCTGGGTGCACTGGGGTGGCCATAGCCATGAGGATTCCATGCTGGAGCATCCCCAAGGATGGATGTGCCACCAGGAGCCTCTCCTGCACCTCCAAGGGGACCCTCTGGAGCATCCCTGAGGATGGAGGTGCCATCAGGATCTTCTGCACCTCCAAGGGGACCCTCTGGAGCATCCCTGAGGATGGAGGTGCCATCAGGATCTTCTGCACCTCCAAGGGGACCCTCTGGAGCATCCCTGAGGATGGAGGTGCCATCAGGATCTTCTGCACCTCCAAGGGGACCCTCTGGAGCATCCCCAAGGATGGATGTGCCATCAGGATCCTCTGCACCTCCAAGGGGACTCTCTGGAGCATCCCCAAGGATGGATGTGCCATCAGGAGCCTCTCCTGCACTTCCAAGGTGACCCTTTGGAGCATCCCTGAGGATGGATGTGCCACCAGGATCCTCTCCTGCACCTCCAAGGGGACTTGCTGGAGCATCCCTGAGGATGGATGTGCCATCAGGAGCCTCTCCTGCATCTCTGAAGGGACTTGCTGGAGCTCTGGACATTGTTCTTGGGGTTTGGGTTGGTTTTTCCTGAGAGTTTTCAAATGGAAGAGAAAAGAAACTCGTGTGAAACGTGTGAGGTTGTCCTGATGTTTTCAATCTGTCACTTGGAGGGGGAGAACTTTCTTTTTGCCTTCTTTTTGTTTTACAGGTTGGGTTGGGATGGGATCTTGGCCCATCAGTGCTTGGAATCCTCACTCTGTTCCTCCCCATTTGCTTTTCTATATACATATATAGTGTATGTATACACCTCTCACCTATACCTACATATATGTATGTATATACAGAACCATATCCATCGTGTGGCTTTTTTTTTTTTTTTTGCCCCTTTCTTCTCCAAAGAAACCAAACCCCAAAGCTCAAATGGCAACACCAACATCAAAATATATTCTTGTAAAGTTTATTTTTTTTAAGAATGTCTATAATGGAAAAAAACCCCAAACAAACAACAAAACCAATAAAACAAGACCAACAAATCAAGGAACAAACCAACCCCAAAGCTAAGGAGAATCTGTGTCCAGCCCAGGGAGAGGGCACAGGGACCCTTCAGCTGCTGAAACACAGAGATTTGGGTCAATCTAAGTATTTTGCAATGCTGCAAACAATTCCCTGCCTGTTTTGCTCCAGGAGACAAGCAAACAAGGCAACATTTCAAAGGAGCTGACACGTTCCCATGTGGCAAAGGGTTTTCTTTGTGTTGTTTTGGGGTGGTGGTTTTTGGGTTTTTTTTTTTAATGTGCATTAACTTTGGGTTTGAAATATCATCCTCTTGCCTTAATGTTGTTGTGTTTTCCCTCAAGACAACCTGACAGTGCTCAAAGCTGAAGTGAAATGTTGAGATTTGGGTCACACAAACAGCAAGTTGCTCAGGTTTTGGTTTGGTTTTTTTTTTTTAATGCTAGTTTTTTCCCACTTTGCTGCTCATGTCAAGGAGCACAAATGTCAACCCCTTCCAGCTGTGCCTGTGGAAAAAGGGATGTTGGGCATCTTAGGCACTTGGGGATGCCAACAGCATGGAATCATAGAATCCCAGACTGGTTGGGGTTGGAAGGGACCTTAAAAACATCTCATTCCACCCCCTGCCATGAGCAGGGACACTTGCCACTAGCCCAAGTTGCTTTAAGCCCTATCCAACCTGTCTTGGAACACTCCCAGGGCTGAAAACCTGAGCAGAGGACCCAGCCTGACTGTTTCTCAGTGGAGAGGAGAGAGATGGATGAATTTTCCCTTTTCCAGCATGGAAAAAGCAAACAGAATTGATGTAGGAGTCAACACAGGGAAGATAAACCTGTCACATCTCTCCCAGGAGTTGTGTTCGGGCTGTTCTTTGCCTCCTGTGCCAGGCAGGAAAGCCACAGCTTGGACACTGAGCCAGGGGGGAGCAGCAGTTTGGCACCCAGAGAAACATCCAGGCATGGAAGGGGCTGTCTGGAGGCTCTACAGCCAACTTTGGGTCTCTTGTGGTAGGGTGAATCCCAACCCAAGTGCTCCCAGCCATCCTGTGCAGCCCAGGCTTGGAACTCTGGGCATGGAGCACTGACACTGTGTTTCTTTAGGAAAAAGACTGGAAATACAGCATGGATTGTTCTTCTTGGTGCTGCTTTGATTTGCTTCTTCCCTGAGAAGGTTGGGAATGCTTCAGGCATGTCTGGAGGGAGAATGAACTGCTAGGAAAGGTCAGGCAGAAATATCTCCATGCTGCTGATGACCATTGGGCACCTGCATTCCCTACTCAGGAGCTGTCCATCCCACTTCTGGGAGCTCCTCAGGTGTTCCAGCTAAGGAAGCACCAGCAGGAAGCAAAAAGCTTTGGATGAGCCTGAGTTAAGAGTTTCTCCTCACTCTTGTCTTGGCAGTGCAGTGACCTCCCTGAGCATCCGTGGCCAATGCCAGTGGGGCCAGAGGCAGGACAACACCTGGAGCTGCTGGATGCAGCAGGGATGGAGTCCTGCCATGCCTGGAGCACCCCAGATCCCAGCTGACCCCCCCTGGCTGGCTCCTAGGCACAGAGATTGAGCAGGAGCTGCTGAATATCCATGTGTTCAGGATGAAGGCATTATCCATGCTGATAAGTGTGACACCTTCATCCAGGTGCCTCGAGCTGTGACAGCCAAGCTCTTCCAGGTGGAAATGCTGATCCTGGGGCTGGGACACTGAGCCTGAGATGCAAAATCCCAGCGAGTTATCCTCCCAAAGCCCTGCTAAGTCTGTCTCTCGGGGCACAAAGCCTTTCCTGGGAGGAGGACAAGGGGATGAGAGGCTCTCACTCCTGAGGAGGCTGTGGGGAGTCGTGGGGGATGTGCAGAGCTAATGCACCGTGTGAAATCTCTGCTGTTCCTGGCACAGCCATGGGATGTGCACAAGGTTTCCATTTGCATGGGTTTTTTTCTGGGAATGATCATTCTGGAAGAGCAGCAAGGAGCTGTGTGGGTCTGGGAGTCTCCAGACTGGAGCCAAGTCTGAGCTCATGTGGATGTGGGAAGATGCTGGAGGGTTTTTGGGGACCTTGTGCAGGGTGACCTGGGGTTGGACAGCAAACTGCAGCATGGATAGTCCTGCTCCAAGCCACAGCATCCCTTCTCCATGCAAACTGGCACAGCAGGGATGGATCCCCTGGTGGGATGTGGCTTGAGGACAGCAGGGATGCTTTGCTGGGTTTTGGCTGGTTGAAGCTTCATTATGTCCAGAGGAATAGACACCAACCTGCAAAATCCACCTGTGGGCACAGCCCTGGGAAGCTCCATGGAATGTTCACCCAGGGGGTGACTGTTCCAGCTGAGTGTGGGATACAGCAGCTCCAGGACTTCCACCTACCTAGGCCTATAATGTACATGGGACCAGGATTGGCTCCAGTCAAGGGTTTTTCCTTCTCTTCCCCCTGCTGTGCCTTCCCAAATCCTGGGGAATACCCCAAGCCACACATGGGTGGGCACTAACCCCTTCCCTGCCCATTCTGCCACCCCCAGCCTGTGCCCATCCTCTCTCCACAGCTCTCCCTTCAACTCACAGAAGGCAAACAAAAAGGGATTCAGGGCAGTTCTTTCCTCCAAAAACAGTTTTTCCCCTGTGCTGCTTTGGGGTTTGGTCACCCATGATCCAACCCACCTGGATTTGACCCATCTCCTGACCAGAGCAGCAGCTGTAAAAATTTTCCCAAGGTGAGAGGTGATTAAAAATAGATGGGATGGCACCTTTGCCCTCTGTAATTAATTTGGTGTTCTCCTTTAGGCTTTCATTAGCCTCTGGGCCAGAGAGGTGTCACCTCCCTCCTCCCTCTCCTAATCCTCCCTGAATCAGTTCTCACCTCGGGGCACTCCTGACACCTCCAGGTTTTCTGTGAGCAGATCCTTTTGCCTCATTAACTTTCCCAAGCAGCTTCACTTCACAAGAAATATCTTTTTTTTTTTCCTGCTCCCCATTGTGCTGTGTTTAATTTTAAAGGCATAAAAATAACCTCAGCAATGACAGGAGCTGCAGGTCAGGGATGGGCATGGAACTGGGATGCCCTTGATCCTTCCAGCCCAGAAGTTCTCTTGATGCTATTCTAGCAGGGGAGAGGAAAAAAAAAAAAAAAAAAAACAAAAAAGAGGAGGATGAAGGGAATTGGTCCCTTTTGAATGGGACCTTTCTAATGGGAACAATTTCAGTGAGCACAAACATCTCCTCAAGTCACCCTGGTCGTTATCTGGGATGATCTCGGCCAAGGAGAAAGCTGCAGAAGCCTTGGTAAGGTCTCTGATATGGAGAAGAAACCAGAATTGATTTATTTTCTTATCTTTGATGTAGTAAGTGAAGCTCTGGAGTCTCTCACAGCTGCTGAGGCCTCGGATGACCCCGTGAGGTTTGAAGAATTTGGGGAGAAGGGTAGGAAAAATAGGAGCCTGTGCTGGAGGAGCAGCTGGAGAGATGCTCTGGGGGGTGGTTTTAAGCAAGTGAAACCTCCCCAGGAGCTCTGTTAGGGACACCAGGGAGGCAAAAAGGAGTTGGAACTTGCTGCAGCTACTGTCCCCGAGGTGGGGAAGA